CAAACACAAAATTTAGTCCAAACCTATCCTTCAAAGTCTCTTTCCTCCAAAGCCACCTAGGCCACCTCAGACCTGGCTTCTCTGTCTTCCAAACTCTGGTTTCAGTTCCGTTGCTTGTTCTTTAATAGGGACAGTTTTGGATTCATCCTTTTAAAGTCCTGGCCCCTTCAACACAGTAGATACAGACACCAAGGGAAAAACAACCAGACAGACACACTCTGCTAAGGGTACTTTCAGGGAGCAAAGCCCTGGGTCCCCAAGAGGGAGACTGTAGTATATAGCATGACTATATGTGGAGCTCTAGCCCAAATTTTTTGGAGTCCTGGTGTGGTGCTGTGGGTTAATGTGCCAGACTGCAATGCCGTTTGAACTACAAAGTCTATGGTTCAAGTTCACCAGCTGCTCCTTGGAAACCCTATACATGATTGCTATCAGTTGGATCCGACTCAACAGCACTTCACAACACAACAACAAGCCCAAATTTTAATGTTAACCGCAATCTCATCCTTGTCAACCTTAACCCCAACTCCAACCCTATTTCCAGAGATGATTCTCAACTAGCAGTGCTTACTCCCTTCCACCCCCCGTCAAAAGCTTTTATTGTGAATTGAGTGATAGTTTACATTGGAGAGCATCTGTTTTTTACTCATGCTATTGTATTTCATTTTATTGCAATGATTACAATCCCCTCCATGCATCATCATTCAACAGTATATGCTTCTATTCTCTGTTTGTTTGTTTGTTTTGATGTACACAAAAACACTCAGGAATATATAATCATTTAATCACCAAAGGGCTCATTCTGCAAGTATGCCTCCTGGCCTCCAGCATACAGCCTTTCTCTGTCCGTGAGTCTAGAGTCCTCAACTGCTCTCTCTCTCCATGTCCTCATCTCTGCCTCCATCTCTGATGTCACTGCTTCTCTGGATAGGGTCCTGCATTCTGCTCGTGCTCTTCTCCCTTGGTGATCCTTCTGTTCCTTATTAACTACTCCCTTTATGTTACAAAAATTCTACCTTTACAGTTGTGACAATCACAATTAGTCATAATAACAATTATTCACTATTGAATCATAAGAATCTTATCTCCATCTCCTTTCACCAGACCCATCTAGACAAGATGAAGACCATTCAGTGGGGACTCTACCTTCCCCAGTACACTCCGAAACTAAACTCCCTCTTGAAAACTTGTAAGCCAGCCACTTCATGCCTTTATAGTGCCTCCATCCCCTCATTTTAGATAGCCAATGTCTAAATTATCCATTCCTATCAACCCTACGTACAGAAGGGATAGGTTTTATCTTTGATGTGAAGATTCCTTCCCTCTCAGTTGGTATTTTGAGCTAATACATCCATAAATATGGGTCAAGTTAATCAAATTGTAGCAATTTACAGTTGTTTCCTTTATCAAATTTCTTAATCTTCCTCTAGTCAAGTTCTGATCATCAAGCCATTGAAGCTAGGTCAAAAGGGTACTATCTGCAAGTTTGGGTGTTTTGTGCATCTCCCACTCACCAGCAGTACTTTAAAGTGCAACAATTATACCTCACGAAGGTAAGAAGTGAATTATGCCCAAAATCTGAGTAAGATTTGAAGTGGATTATTCCACAGCCAAGCCTCCAGATGAGACTGCAGCCCAGCCACCACCTTAATTAAAGCCTTGTGAGACCATAAGCAAAGGACAAAGCCAAATCCTCAGAAGAACTGATGCATTGAATTATGGCATTAGTGATGAATATCAACTATACCATGAACTGCCTACAAAATGAAGAAATCTGCCTTGAAGTGAAAAGAGGAAGACTCTCAATAAGATGGATTGATGCAGTGGATGCAACGGTGATCTCAAATATAGCACCAATTGTGAGGATGGTGCAGGATTGGGCAGTGCTTTGTTATGTTCTACATAGGGTTGTTGTGAGTTGGAGCTGGCGTGAAAGCACCTAACAACCACCACAAGCTAAGCCATGCCCATGAAAGTATTGTAAGAGGGGACTTTAAAAAGTTTGTGGGAGGAGGACCAAACAAGATGGTGGATCGGGTGGAAGTGCAGTGAGGAGTTCTGTCAGCAACAACACAGAATACTAGACCAAGCAGGCTCAGGGGATGGTCCCAGAACTCTGAACACATAAAAGGAATATATAGAAGGTTGGAAGGCATACAGCTAAGAGAATTGGTAGCAGAAGCAAGAAATCCATAGCCTTCTAATTCAAGATGCTCAGCTACTCCTGGAGCCACCATCTTGGGCAAGACCAAATGGGGGAAGGATCAGAGCAGCCACAGACGCCGTACAGAACCGTAGCGATAAAGGTGTGGACGTTCTTTTTTTTTTTAATCTATTCATTGGTCTTTCGCTGTCTGTGCACCTCCATTCTGGTGACTAGAGGGGATGCCTGAACAAGTGGACACCCCACCGCCACCCCTGAATGGATCTACTACACATGCGCACAGATCTCCTCGAAACTTAAAGTGACAGTTTTCACTGAAAACCAAACGGCAATGCAAAATGGCTACAGCCGGCCTTGAACTGTTTATCACTAGGAAAAAAGCCTGAACAGGGATTGTGGAGAGAGACAGGCATACTAAAAAGGAAATAGGGTCAAAAATTACATCCTGAGTTACATCACAATGACCAATAGTGACATCTTGAAATTTCTCAGGAAGAGTGAAAAGGGAGTCTCATTTCCTGATCACATCTACCTGGAGGCAATCAGAAAGCGTAAAAAATACCAAAATACACATCCATCTAAGTATTAAGGCCACAGATAACTCCTGTTAACTGATGGTACATGGAGGGGATTATAATCATTGTAATGAAACAAGGTGTATGATTTGTTGAATGTAAAATTGATGATCTGCCCTGTAGATTTTCATTCAATCCACACACCAAAAAAAGTAAAAAAAAAAATTGTGGGAAAATGGAATTAAAAGGTAGTGGAATTTTTTCACGAACTTTTTGAAGCCCCCACATTTTAAAAAGGTGTCCTGGTGTGGCATTGTGGGTTAATGCACTGGACTGCAAAGTTCGTTTGAATTACAAGGTCAGAAGTTCAAGCTCACCAGTTGCTCCTTGGAAACCCTATATAGGGTTGCTCTGGGTCTGAACTGACTTGATGGCACTTAACAACAGCAACATTTTTTGAAAGTGTGTTATTTTAAGCCACCAAGTTTGTGGAACTTTATTATGCAGCAATATATTTGTCTTATAAATAAAATAAAGCAATACTTTGTTATTGTCCATCTACCCACTGCCATCCAATCCATTTTGACCCACAGGAACCCTACAGGAGTCCTGGTGTGGCACTGTGGGATAATGTGCTGGACTGCAAGGTTGGTCTGAACTGCAAGATCAGCGGTTCAAGCTCACCAGCTTCTCTTCAGAAACCCTATACAGGGTTGCTATTGGTCAGAACCGACTTGATGGCACTTAACAACAACAACAACGCTATAAGGCAGAATATTACTGCTCTGGGGGTTCTGTAGCTTAAATCTTTATGGAACAGATTGCCTCATGTTTCTCCCAGGGAGTGACTGGTGGGTTTGAACTGCTGACCTTGTGGTTAACCCACTATACCACCAGGACTCCTATACTTTGTTATCTGGTTTGTTGTTAAATGTTGTTGAGTTGGTCCGACCCATACTGACCCTGTATAGGTTTTCCAAAGAGTGGCTGGGGAGCTTGAACCACCAATTTTGTGGTTCAAACCGACTTCTCAGTCCAATGCATTAGCCCACAGCACCATACCAGGACTCCATACTTAGTTATACAACAGTGGTAATACACTGTTGTAGCCATGAAAGCAAAGGAAGTGTGTCTTAATGTGTTTGTCAGGCAGCAAGGCATATAAGGGGGCTTCAAAAGTTGGTGAAGATACTGGAATTTCTTTATGAACTTTTGAAGTTCCCTGGTATATGAGCAGCTTGGAACGTGCATGGGTAAGACAAACTCATACTTTGTAAAGCATTTTCTTAAAGTGTAGTGGGATTATCTACAATAGCAAGTGCAGGCAAAAGAGAAAGAAAGTTCCTTACATAGCAGGAGCTATGTAAAAAAAAAACAAACAAGGAAAGAGAAGGCATCCAGGAAGGCCTGTCTCCTCAGCTCTCTATAAAGATCAGGAACTATGCAATCCTGTATAGGCTTTCTGAGAGTGGCAGCTGAGTTTCTAAGGCTGGTCTTACAGTTAGCAGTCCAGTGCTATCCTACAGCCCACATCAAGGTTCTTTTCCAGGCAATGTTGTTGTTGTTAAGTGCCTTGGAGTCAGTTCTGACTCATAGCCACCCTGTATAGGATTTCCCCGCTGACCTTGCAGTCTAGCGCATTATCCACACCAGAACTCCTTCCCAGGAAATAGTAAAGTAAAACTCAGAAAAGGGAACAAGGGAAAGTTATCAAAATCAGCTTTAGCAGGTAGAAAACGAAAGCTCCTGATTTTCTTTGAGCTAAGGAAAGAGGAACAATCTACATAGTTCCCATTGCCTTACAAAGAAGCAGCACTCAATAAATCTCTGTTGAATAAATGCAAAGATGATTGGAGAAAACAAAGGGTTTATTTAATTACCATCACAATGCCTTTCTCGAGTTCAAAGTGGGCCAAAGGGGCTTATCAGACTGAATCTTCAGAACTTGTTTCTAAAAATGATAGTCACCAACTCATCATATCCACCGTGCTTACCTAGTGGTGGAGCCTGAAAAGTGAGTCAAGGCTAGCAGGGATAAGAACAGGAAACCAATACAGTAGCTATTGGTGATTCTCTAACCTCAGAGACAGCTGCCAGTTTCCACAACCACAATGATAAGAGTCCCCTGCAGTTATGATATGAACCCGGTGACACTGGGTTCTGGCCCTTAGGAAAACAGATGGCCTAAAGTACAAACTGAAAACTCTAAAATACATCACCTCTATCTGTCCTGGATTTGTATATGAATGTTTGTGAAGGTAACAGATTTGTAAATCTTCTAGAAGCGTGTGCCTTAAGAACAGCACTGTAATCTAATACAGGTAACCAACCAGTTGCCTCTGGAGAGTGGGACGCGGGTCCGGGACAGGCGGGCTCTACACTGCGGGCCCCGCGCCGCCCTCGGCCGCTCGGTGGGCCGGCGTGCTGCGGCCGAGCGCTGGGAGCAGGCGGCGCGGGCGGAGCAGCAGGCTGAGGCGGCGGCGCGCGAGCCCGAAACACACACACCCTCCCTGCTCCCTGCCGCGCGCGACTGCGGCGCGTGAGCCCGCGCCAGGCGCCCTCGGTGGGCTGGTGGGCGCGCTCAGCGCCTCGTTGCTGCACCTCCGGGCTCAGCTGGCGCTGAGGGGCTGCGGGAGGGCGACGGCCCAGCTCCCACCCGCTGTCCTCCCACCCAGGTATCAATGGGCTTCCCCCTCCAGCGACCGGCAATGCGGCGCGCGGACTGCGCCAGCCGGGCCGTCTGCAGCAAGGTCAGTGCCCAACCTGAACAGGTGGCCCGAGAGCGGGCTCCGTGGCGGGCTGCCGGCGCTCAGGAGCCTTGGACCCACGGGAGCGAAAGCGGAGTCCTGCTGGGCGCAGCCTCGGACACCTGCCTTCCAAGTGAGAGTACTTCTCAGCGGTCCCAGCGCGGACCCCACTTCTCACACCAGGTCCTGCTGCCCACCAAGGCCTCGGGGTCCTTGGTCCTGATATTAGGGCGCTTCCCTTTTCAGTATCCCACCGGCCTCCAAGGTGTCCAAGAGTGCACTGTTTTCTGAGATTTTGGTCTTTCATTTCCTGTCGTGATGCAGTACCTTAATGTAAACCACTTTTTACTGCTGCAAACCTCTGCCCTCCAACTATCCAGTCAGCAGTTCTGAGAACTATAAAGTGCATTACATCAAATTCAATGTTTTGAAGAAACCAAGAATATCAAAAAGAATATCGACAGTCATAAGCCCAAACAAGTAATTATAAAGCACTAAGTGAAGAAATGCAAACGATATGTTGAACTTTTTATTTAAATCACATTCTTTTATTTCATTTACACTTTTAATATACCAGTTTTCCTAGATGAAATTAACTTTTGTATCACAAATACAATTCACTTTATCATGTGAAGGTAAACATGGTACTATATAAATTAATAAGTATATACATGTATACTTAGTATATTAAATTTCAGTAAGTATATACAAGTAAATAAGGAGCTCTGGTAGTGTAGTGGTTACGAATCATGCTGCTAATCTCAGGGTCAGCAGTTTGAAACTACCAGCTGTTCCGCGGGAGAAAGAGGAGGCGTTCTGCTCCCGTAAAGATTTACAGCCTTGGAAACCCGGTACAGGGTCCCGATGAGTCAGGGCACATAACAACAACATACAGGTAAATATTTACTTACTGAAATTTATATATTAAATTAAGTAAGTATATACAAGTAAGTATGGACTCTTGGTGTGATGCTGTAGTATCAGCACTGGACTGCAAACCACAAGGTCAACAGTTCAAATCCACCAGATGTGCCTCAGAAACCCTATACAGGGTCACTATGATTTGGAACTGACTCATTGCCACTTAACAACAACACCATATGGATAAATACAGGGAGTCCTGGTGTGGTGCTATAGGATTAGCACTGTACTGTTAACCACAGGTGGTGGTGTGTGACTCAGCGCTCTTGCATAGCGTTACCCAGGCTGTAAATCTTTATGGGAGCAGAAAGCCTCATCTTTCTCCAGTCCATCCGCTGGTATTTCAAACCGCTGACTGTGAGATTAGCAGCCCAACTCATAACCACTATGCTAGTAGAGCTCCTGCTAACCACAGGTAGGTAGTTCAAACCCATCAACTGCTTTGGAAACCCTGTAGAGGGTCACTATGAGTCAGAATTGACTTGACAGCACTTAACAACAACATAGTACTATATATTGCTATCACTTTTAAAGACTTAAAGCACGTAAGGTGCCAGGTACTAGATACATGTATTGAGTAGTTTAAACTTCACCACGTGGCTATAAAGTACTATACTTCATTGCCTACTGATGTAGAAACTGAGGAACAGAGAGGTTAAACAACCTGCTTTTTATGGACATATAGCTAATATGTGGAACCTAGGAATTCTGACATTCCATCAATTGTACAGTGCTACCTCCAGGACCACCTTAAGGATGTGCAGAAATGTCTCAGGTAAAATATTTTGGAGGACCATGACTTTATATGCAATTTGCTTAAAATATTCATTACAAAATCAATGGGCTCTTAATGAGGTATTGGGAATCCTGGTGTGGTGCTGTAGGATAAACTCTGGACTGCTAACTGCAAGGTCGGCACTTCAAACCCACCAGTCACTCAGAAAGCGATTGTGGAAAAAAATGCCTCCTCAAAGTAGGGTTG